AAGGAAGGGAAAGGAAAGGAAAGGAAAGGAGAGGAGAGGAGAGGAAAGGAAAGGAAAGGAAAGGAAAGGAAAGGAAAGGAAAGGAAAGGAAAGGAAAGGAAAGGAAAGGGAAAAAAGAAGGAAAGGAAAGAAAAGGAAAAAGAGAGAGAGAAAAGAAGGAAAGAAAGAACGAAAGGAAGGAAGGAAGGAAGGAGGAAGGAAAGACAGAAAGAAAGGAGGAAAGAGAGAGAAGAGAGCATACCAGCCTCTCGGTTCTGGCGTGCTTCGAAACATTTGAAATACTTGCGAGCATGCACCGCAACCCCCTGTCCTGGCATATGCAGAGCTGTGGGCTCGGAAGCGTGCACATGTGCGTAGGGGGGTAACAATCTCTACATTTAAATGTTTTAATGCCCTGATCAAATATAACTGATTTCTCTTGCTATTCCCTTTTAAGAACACCCACCTGGCAATTTGAAAGAAGACATCTTTTATCTGAATCAAACTTCTCAATGCTTGCAACCTATCCCCAGGAGTTCTGCTTCCCCCCAAACATTTGGGGTTATAAATCCAGAGAAAATTTACTTAGACCAAATCATGTAATATTTGTGGCTGCAACAGGCATGATATTTCACATACCTTCAGTGTACGTGACTTTTTTCAGAGCACCGTCTCTTATGTGACCATTTCTAAACTGTTACTTTCGTTGTGAGGAGCAGTTTAGATAAACAGGGAGGTGCAGAAATTAAAAATCCATAAAGCACATCTTGGGGATGGGGTCTCAGCAATTTATAGGCATTTACGGAAATCTGCTCTTGTTAACAACTGTTTCACTTAAGGGCATCAGGCAAAGTAAAGCTCATTGGGAACTTTTCAAATAAATGCTACTTCAGTGGAAATACTCCTCATCTCTGGGATAAAACATATAGAAAAAAATGAGAGACAGCAAATAGTTTCTATACAGAAAACAGCCATGAGTCACCCAACCAGGGCTCTCACCTATCCTGTGAGGACCTGGGCTAAAGCTCCATTTCATCTGCAGCTCTCACACGAAAAACCAAGGTTGCACATTCTTACAGAAGACCCCAGTGCATTTCTCCATCTCAGTGAAGATCTCGATTTAGATATGAGTCACCAAAATCATTCTGTATTGAAACTCCCACCCTTTTCCATCCATTTTTCCCTGCTTTGGTACCTACGAGGTCCTAATCCCTCTGGAGTCCCTTAGGGTAAACAACCACTCGTGGCACAAAGCCAAGCAGGGACGAAAACCCAAGCCAGCCTCTGGAGATGTTAAAAGACATTTCCACTTTGCAATTCTTTATTTAAAAAAAAAAAAAGAAAAAAGGCAAGCAATGTTCTAAAAGAGCCTTTCAACCTCCCTGTCATTTGTGGCCCATAGTTTTCTCACATATTTATGTATTTTCTTTATGCCCCCCCAGCAATATCTGGACATTGAAGACTGGTATTGACACCCCACCTCATGCCCAGTGGTGACAGAACCAAGCGAATTTTGCTGCAGTCTTTCTTTTATTTCTGTTTCTAGACTCGCACTCCTACCATTCCATTGTAAACAGATAATTATTATTTCATTAGTGTTCCAATTCAGAATTAATTGGCTAATTTACACATGGATCAATTGTATAAATGTGATGTTTGTGATAGGTGCTTGATATGATTTAAAGTAATTGTTTATTTTCAGGTTTTGGCTTGCATTGTACTGCAAAGTGATTTATCTCCCTATTTATCCTGTCTCAGCACTGCCTCTTCTTTTTCATTATTTTTCTAAAGAGCCACACTCTTGCTAAGCCGAAGCGTGAACCTGTGCTGTGTGATTCTGTGGGGCCACACTTACATTAGCTCCCAAACGCCCTGCCTTGCAGCCTGCTGATGTCGCATGCTCAGAGAGCACCGCGCCAGCAGCCCTCCTTGCCTGGCAGAAGTCACCCGCTGCAGCCTGCAATCACTGCACCTCACGCAGAGTCTTGTACCCTCTTTACAGCTGTCATCCCTGAGTGTCTCCTACTGTAACCACAGGTGACAAACATCTGTCACTTTGGGCTCAGTTTCTTCTTTTCCACCCTGAGGGGGCTGAGGAAAGTCCAGCGCTTAGTTTCCTTCCTCCTTTGTTTATCCAACTGGGAGCACGCCCGGCAGCCCAGCCGAGGGAGGGCTGCAGCCAGGACTTGCAGGGCAGAAGCGGGGAGGTTTGCATCTGCCTCCCCTCTGACAGAAGGTTCTGACAGCGGCAGGAGCTCCTCCGGCACAGCCCTGCCATGTCTTTGCAGAAGGTGGCACTGGCCGGCCAGGAGTCTCTCCCTAGCCCAGCCCCATGCTCTCCTGTAGGTGTTTGCAGCATTTGGCCTTACAGCAATTGTAGGGAAGCAGTAATCCATCAAGGCACTACTTAATTGCATGGCTAACTTTAACAGGTTCTTCCACAGGGGAGTGCTGACATACCTCCTTGCATCAGGATTTAGACATTCGGGGAGAGAAAAAAGAAGGGATGAGCACACAGTTAACAGCTTGCCCCATGCAGAAACACTCCTTTCCCAGGCAATCGAAATGAATTCTTCCCATCAGATTTTAGAGCTGCTCTTTTGCTGTCCAGGCAGCTAAAAACAATTTTGTGAATGCCAAAGATTAACTACTGTAGAGTTTGAGCCACTGTCAATGGCTCTCCCCTTCCTACTGCAAATCGTTACATACTATCAGGGCCTTTGTAAAATCTGAGTTATTCAGAAACATTGCATTTCTCTGTCATTCTTTCAATTGCTTCTTCTGAAACACATGATTGGAAACAGAGGTTACCCAGAAAAGTGATGCTACTTTCTCTTGAAAGGGAACGTCTGTTGCAGGATGTATTTGATAAGGAAGTTTTATTCAAGACTAGAAAAACGACAAGCGAGTTATGCTTCATAACCTGTCTCAGGTCTGGCTTGTTTGAGCATACCAGGGTGTACGTGATGCCTGTGGGTTGGGAGGGATTTTGTTCCCTTATTATGCCTCACAATGGCATTTTTGTACCTTTAAATGGAAGGCTTTGCAAGTCTCTGTTTTCCGGCAGCTTCCTGGTGAGCTGAGAGTCTTTCGTGACAAATATTAGAACCTCGTAGTACTGCAAGAAAGGAGGTTATTTAATTTATGAGACTTTTATTTCTGAGGTCCACCACAGTCCTGCGTCTGACTCACAAAGATATCATTTTTAGGTCGTGATGTTTTTGTGAAACAAGTTCTGTTGCAAACTCTCGTGTCATTTGGACTAAATCCACGGGGACAGGACTGACGGGCAAATGATGTGGTCTAAGTACAGTCTTCATCTCATACAGCACTACACGCATGCTCTATATAACGTGATATGGTGCTCTGAAGTCATCGCAAACTCGTCCAACATATCCCTTGCTCCGTCACTGTGACCTGCCCACCAGTCTAATTTCTAGAAAATCCAACCATCTTTGCGTTGATATTAGTCATGTGTGCACAATGGATCGCTTTCGTGAGCGAACTCACAGAATGGAGGTCAGCTAAATGTACTGGAGGAAATCTCTTGTGAAAAGTATCCTTGGAGGATTTCAAAGCAGAACCTGTGCTGTTCTTTAACATCTTATCCAAATGTAAGCTTTATCGTAACCCATCTTACCTGTTTCAAAATACGAAAGGACAGAAACACCCAAAGAACAACGGATACACAATAGCTTTGCAGCTTGTTGTTCTACATCTGAAGACCGGTACTTATATACCAAGTCATAAACTCTGAGCTATCATGTCAAATGTAAAACAAATGAAAATAAACTGCTTAAACATCAGCACTGGTGAAATCCTAAATAAGCAGATCTCTTTGTGGCCACAAATAGCTTATTTATGAAAATCCATGAGTGTCCTGGAACCACACCTGAAAAGTGCTGAGTATTTTCAGCTCCCAATGAAATAAATAAAATTAAAAAATTGCTGCGAAGCCGGATGGTGAATGTTTTACTGGCCTGGCTAGAAAAGAGGCGTTATAATCCACACACTCAGCCTTCAGACCTCAGATCCAAACTATCCATTTGCAGAGAGCCAACAGAGAGCAAAGTCGGTCCAATGTTTGTGTGCACAGCAGCTAGGCAATGTGCAGTTTTAGGAGTTCTTAAATAACCATTGATTTCAAAAGTGTTACAGCCCATTGACTCAAAAATCAGCTGCTTATAAAGACTCTTGTGTTCATATCAGAGATCCTTGGCAACTGTACAAGAGTTATGCTGAACATACATACTGAACATGAGCTGTATTTTGAATTTTATTAAAAGATCCTGAGATCGCCCTAATTTCCCTAACAACTTTTGTTATAAATGGCATAACAATCTGAACCAGCTTGTTCTGAGTCAGCAGATCCCCAAAATAGCTTGTGGTTTTGCAAAATAAATGAATGATGGGGCCATTTTGTGCTTCCGCAAGAGCTTCTTTGTCAAGACCTCAGTGTGCTTTGCACTTATTAATGGCTCTGTCTCGCCTGCCAGTCCCCAGGGAAGGCTGCTCCTCAGGCAAGCTCAGTGTTTCAGGAATCCCAAGAAGCCCAAGTGGTGTGCACATCACAGCAGGCTGCTTCTGCCTCTTTTGGCTGGGGCATCAGTGGGACATCTTGTCTTCAGGTGTGCAGGCAGCTCAGGTACGCACATCGCTCCCGTGGTGCACAGACCCCGTTCTGCCAGTTCTGCAAAACAGAACAGAGAAAAGAAGGTTTCTGGGCTTCTTTCCACATAACATTTCTGTACATTCCAGGGAAAGTCTTATCCTAGATAACAAAGTTTCTTGTTTCCACTCTCTCTATACATTATTATAAGTGCTCAAACCCACATTATAAAGATAAAGCATCAGGTCAGCAAAAACTGACTGCACTGGGGTAAGAGTTCTTTCCTCCAAAGCCAAATTCCAAATCACCCTTCTCTGAGTCACAGCTTTACATTTATGTAGCATGCATTGCTTCTTTCTTTACATGGTTGAAAAATTGGAAATCTACTAGAAAGGCAAGCATTATGCAGAAAATATTTTTAATACATTTTAGTTACACATTAGCAAGACATACCACAAATTGGTCAGTAATAAACTTGATTAAAGCAATGCTGGTGGAGAGCAGGAGGAGGACTATGTGCACTGTTGGGCAAAACTTGCAATACTCAGCTTCATCATCATCATAGCCGTCATAGTTACACCACTGTTTTCTGCGTAACAGGAGATTGTCTTTGACATTAAGCCACAGGGACCCAGCCAGTTCAGCCTTGCAGTCCAGAATGGTGGCTTGCAACTCCTTCCTCATACAGAGGTATGAGAAGCAACCATGAAGCGCTAACAAACCTAGCTGGGAACCAAGGATGACTTTTTCACCTTAGTTTACATTAGGTAGATTTTTGGCTTGTCGTTAAGGATCCGTGAATAATATCAGAAAAAACAATGAAAGGGGACTGTGTACAATTGAACATCTTGTTCAAGGTGGCAGATAGGGCAAATAATAATAATAGTATTATGTATGACAGAAAGTGGAACAATTTCAGCTTGGCGTATGCATGAAATGTAATACATTTAAATACTGCTGAGTATCTACAGAGCAATAGAATTGACAAAATAATAATCCTAACATATTAAGCAAACACTAGCTGTTTCTCCTCAGCAGCCTGATGTGTATTCTTACCATGTGTTGTCATTCCCAGAGTATGAGATCTAAGCTACTTGTGTGATGCTGTCATAAAAAACCGAACAAACAAACAAACAAAAACCAACACAAAACCAAACCCAAAAAACTTTTAATATATTTCCATTTTCTCTATATCACTGTCGCCTTGAATATTCCAGTCAGGAAAATTGTATACAGTACACATCATGCTACCATGAGAAGTTTGTTATGTATTGCTGTGCTTGAAAGCTGCAATGGAGAGAAGAATAGAGGATACGCTGAAAGACTCTAGGGCAAATGCACAAATGATACCTCTGCTTTTTGTTTGTTTGTTTGTTGGCATCAAGGGTTGATATGAATGAGACGATAAGGCACTGTCTCTCTAGTTAGAGATTCTGATTTTATTCTGTTCCGGAGACCACGCTTGTAAAGCACTGAAGCTGATCAGAGATTGCAGAACACTGATCAGAATTTCCAGATGTCCTTGATAATGCCCTTCACCTTCATAATCAAGCTCTGAAATGATAATATATTGATCAGAATGCTTCGCAGCAGTATGACACACAGAGGATTATCGATAAGCAGCTCTGAACTTTTCAGGTGACAAACAAGGGTGGGGGAGGCCATTAAAACAGGAACGCAAAGCTGCCACAATACTCTTCGCCTGGGAAACTTGGGTATGATATTCTTTCCAAAATGTTTTCGCTTTTGTCTGGGAAGAGATTTCCATCTTAATTTGCGGAGAATTGTTGCTATTATTATTATACTAATAGGACTAAGCCTAAGACCAAGGCTCGGACTGGTACGAAGGCTAATACAAGGGCAGATGGTGTACCAGCGCATGCCTCCCCAGGCGCACCGCTGTCCCGCGCCGCCGAGGCGCGGCCCTTCAGCACCACGGACAGCGCCGGGGCGGTGCGCGGGGCGCGGTGCGGTGCGCGGAGGCGGAGGAGGGGTGCGGAGCAGAGGAGGGGTGCGGAGGCAGACGAGGGGTGCAGGGCGCCTTCCCGCAAGCTTAGGGGCGGCGGGTCCCATCCTGCACCCACTGCGCTCCGCGACGGCACTGCTGTGAGCAGGCTGCGGGGTCAGAGCTCCTACGTGCACCTGTGGGTGCTTGCGAGGGAGAGTGGGTACCCAGCTGCTGTGGTCCGAGGGGCAAGAAGAAGAATCCGAGCCTTACTGCTTCTGTAAAAGCTCCCGAACAAGAAAATAACCAACTGTATACAAATCCTCAGATTACAAGCTAAAACCAGGACCCTTTGTCTACTACACCCTGTGCTTTTACAGGCAAATTCAAGAGAACTACACCTTGGTTTATTTTCATATCAAAGCACTTTCTAAGAAGACATGGAAATCATTTCCCTTTCCAATAGTGTTGGCGCATTGCTCTGTTTATTCTTCAGTTGGTATTTTTTGTACCTCTTAGAGATATATCAAAGTTTATGTCGTATGTGTAACTTGGAGGAGATGGAAAAGACATTGACAATATTAATTGTTTCATAAATAGCGTCAAATAGGATACGCTTTCTATATCCTTGGTTTAAACCTTGTTATTGAAAAACCAATACCCTGCCATTTGTTTATACTTTTCTTGGCATACAGGGCAGATATATTAGAGTGAATGAAGCTAATAAAAGGCTGCAGGCAGCATTTTCCACACTCAACTTTTAGGCATGGCCTCTTTTTCAAAAGAAAACTGTCTTTTATTTTGGAACATTATAGCCATGCCATCTGTCTGTAAAAATGTATGAAGAACCAGAAATTACAAAGGACCAAATAGAAAGGACCCTTTTCTTTTAGGTGAGCACTTCTTCACGCAATTCCATCAAGTCCGTAGACCTGCTTAGGCGAGTAACCGCTGATGCAGAGGGATGAAGGGCTCTGTCAGCCAACCCAGAGGTGTGAGGGTCTCTGAGGCAAACCCACCTCCGAGACAAAGGCTCAGCATGAGGAATACCTCTTTCCTGCAGTGGTTTTCTTTGGATCCAAGAAGTTAGTTGCAGAGCAAGGGGTTCCGAGCATGGAAAGAGCAGCCGCAAACTCTCCCAAAGGCAGTGAATGACGGATAGTTTCAGACAAGGAAAATGCCCTGCAAATTAATTACTGGAGATCTTGCAAAAATTTTTCACCCAAGCAATGGTAAAAGAAATTCTCGAGAGATCTGCTTGCATCACAAACATTTTACTCCTTGCAGTCCTTTTATTTCTTTTACTCAGCATTTTAGTCCCTGCAGGAAGGAATAAGGAGGTAGGTTACGGTGGGTTTACTTCTGCTTTCATTTTTAAAAATATTTTTATCATGTTCTATGCAGTGTCACATGCGAAAGAAATACAGTGCTTGCGCATCTTTTAAACAAGAGTTTCAATGCTATCATGTTCTGCTAAATTAATGTTACAGTGTTAGGAAGATATATAGCGTAGCAGAAACTGAGGAGTGGAATACAGAAACTCAAGCGAAGAAGGAAGGAAGAAAATGAGATCTCACTATTCAATATTCCTGGAAATTTCATAGAAATTTGTGAAACTATACTATGCATATTTTTTTGTAGCATGAAATGGCTCCACTGAAGTCTTGAGTTGCTGCTGCAGGACACCAAGAGCAAAAGCAATCCTTAGAACATTTGCCATAGGGGCTCCCAGGGTTTTACCTCGCTCCATGCACAGGGAATATGAAGACTGATGTCCTGGTTTTCAAAGCAGCTCTGCATGGATCATCTCCTACAACTTCAGGAAGTTTCTGTGCAGATACAAAGGTCTGCTCCTGTGGTAGAAGCATAAAATTCATTACCAGAGGGAGCACCAAGGCATGGACCTTTCTCTATTTCATTTTAGCTCCAGAGTGGAGGAGGCTTTTGCTCAGCAGCCATATTTATTCCATACTTATTTGTAGCTCGAACTACAGTAAATCAGGAGTATCTGACTTCTTCAGCATCTCTTGGGCCCAGAAGGTTTTTAAGGACGTGTTGCAGAAAAGTAGAAACGAGCTGAAGAGCCCAGAGGAAGAAAACCCATAGCCAGGGGCACTGGTGGAGGCCCGCGTGGCACCAGACACCAAAGCCAAGCAGAGCCCAGATTTTTTATTTGCCTCCCAGGCAGCGCACCCAGGGAGAGTCTCTGCACGCCCAGACTTCAGAGGTACCTGGAGCAGACTGGCAGCCACCGGCATGCATGAAGGAAGCAGTAAGAATAAATGTTGGCTGGAAGGTGCTTTCATTCATGGCCAACTGCTTATTGTAGTTTAGCCGTATGGTGCATGTAGCAGTCGTACTTGGGACAAGAGGAAAAAGAACACCTTGATTTCAGGGGCTGGAGTAGATGTCTTCCACCCTACATCTTTCTGTCATCAGCAGGGACTGATCAGACGGAGGGAACAGCATTTGGGCCACCCAAGAAATAGTACGTTTTAAAGAGTCCGCGCTTCACTGCAATTTCAGTCCCAGGAGTGCCACAAGAAGCGATGCTCAAAGCACGGCCTTTTCCAGTTGCTCTGAAAGGCCTACACAGAAACCAAGGGAGAATTTCCCTTCATCAGTGCAAAAGCAAGTGTGATAACTGGCAGTCTCTGTGTAAAAGTATTTATCTTAGTCACGGTAATCTCACCATTAGACTCTAATTTCTAGCTCCAGCATTAGATAGCAAAGTGTATGCCATCCGCGGTAGCGAGGCTGACACAGCAATACGCTTTTGCCACTCACAACATCTGTTGAGCTAATCCGAAACGCCACAACCAAATCCCATTTCCAGCAACGCACATGTTTGCCTTTCTCCTCAACCTGCCAATTCTAATGACTCGCAATTAAATAAAAGCCTTCTTCATGCTCCGGGTCTCCCTGCCCATCCTCCCGCCGAGGCTATGGCTTTCATTTCGCCCTGTCACATTCTCACGGCAGCAGACCGTTATGGCAGGCGGCAGGATTATGACTCATCATGTACTGTGGGAAGTAATGATGATCCAAAAAGCAAACGGAGGTGGGCAGTGAAGGAGAAATCACTTATGCAAATAGAAATATTTTCAATAATGATCAACAGCGTGAGAAAGAAGATAGGAAAAATTACATTAGGCAGAGGAGCTTCATTTTTAAAATGTTCCCTAAGTGCTAGAAATCTTCCCATCTTCATTTTTCCCTTTAAACTCTGTCATTTGTACAGCCTATTAACCTTTAACTTTACGACTATCCTAACGTGAAATACTGGCAGCATTTAAGTCTGAGAATACTAGAGACCTACCTTCCTGGTCGGCAACAGAGGTGAAGCACTTTCTTTTAAATCAGTCATTTTTAATATCAGTCATATACACACAGCATCAGAGACGCTATTTTTAGATTCACGTGCTGGCGTCACTTATAATAAATGCTCTACAGACTCCAGTTATCTTTCCTCAGAGGTCTTAAAGTTTCCTTCTTGCCTGGCCTCTCCCTGTTCGTCACCCTAATTGTTCTTTTCAATTCTGCTCAAAAGTAAAAGAGCAAATCAAATTAAATCACTTCCTTCAAACTCCCGCTTTCCTGCTCTTAAAAAGACAACGTAAAATTAATTATTTGTGTTTACAAGAGCTGCTGGGGAGTCGAGCCGAGGCTGGGACTTCATCGTCTGAAGCACTAAACCACTGTTACTCCGGCCATTTCTGCCCTGAAGACCCGGCAGTCG